TTTACAGATAAGGAACAATGTGGACACATTTTATGCCATAAAATACAAAGATTTTTTTATCAATAACTGCATGATTTCATTAAAAATTAAGAGAGTAGAATAGCACAAAGAGTAAAGATACAGTGTAAAAGCACTGAGAAATAAAACCTCTTATCACTCCCCAATACAGAACCCCTCACTTACAGTTGTGCCCAGAAAAGAATCTCTCTACTCTCTCCCCACCCCTTGTTTGGCTAATGCATCTGCAAATGAGTTAGCACTTAGCTTACACCATTGAAAATTACTTCCATGTCTCTTGTTAGCCAACTGAATTTCTTCTTTTCATTGTATATCCACATCTTCATTTCCTCACTTTGTAACCAATACTCAACCAATTGTGAGTCCCCCTCAACAATTAATTCCCTAATGTTTAGTGTCCTCACCCTTTGAATTCCTTCCATCATTGCCAAAACTTCTGCTCTAAGAGAGTCTCCCTCCCCAGCCACTCCTGAGCATAAAGCAATTATCTTCCCCTCTTCATCCCTAAGTACACCTCCAATTCCTGATATTTCTAGGTAAGTTTGAAAACCCCTCTTTCTGGTGAAGACCAAATACAAATAACGACAATCTTGTTTGAAGCAGAAGCCACCACTTCCTTCTAATTTCTGAGAAAATCATCAATTGAAACATTAGAAAATGTTTCCAAGGGTTTGAGCCAATGAGCCACCCTAATTTTAATTGTTCCTATTATGCCTTCCTTGCTTCTTTCCTTTTCCAAGAATAATTTTGAATTCCTTTCTTCACAAACTGTCCATAATGTTGCCGCTCTAGTGCATCTCCACATAAGTCTTCCCCTTTTCTTTGGCCATGTGAACATAGTTCGAGCAAAAAGGTTTTTCACAATTGCATGTCCACCGAAGGATTCCACCTACACCCAAACAAAGAGAGAAACCACTCTCAAATAAATGCAGTATAGGGACAGGAGATAAGTAATTGGTAGCAATTTTTTAATCAATAAGATAATATTTTATTAGAGCCAAATAAGAAAGTTACAACAGGGTGAGAAGGTTCTTCCCCCAAAATACAGTTTTACAGCTTTGTCCAAAGCATTTGATGTCTCATAGCCCCTTGTTTAGCTAGAGTATCCACCATCCCATTTGCTGTTCTTCTCACCCATTTGAAATTAACATTCAACTCCCCTGCAATGCTCTCAATCTCCCTAAATATATGCCTATAGATCCAAGGGATTTGGGTGCTACATCTTCTCCAAGAGATGACCACCTGAGAGTCCCCTTCCGCTTCCAAATTAAGGAATCCAAAACACTTGGCAAATTTTAGTCCATTTAGAAGTCCAAATAGTTCTTCTCTCAGTGTACCCCCATTTTCTAAAGGCCCTGAATACATAGCTAACACCTTTCTTCCTGACTCTCTGAAGACACCTCCTAAACCAGCCACATTTTGGTTACCAAGGAAACTTCCATCAAAACTAAGCTTCACAAAGTTTGTTGCTGGGGGTCTCCACTCCACAAAGATTTGTTCCTTTCCTTGGGCTCATACAGCCACTTCCTTCCAAGTTTTCAGAATGTCATTCAATGAGAATATTTGAAAGTCTTCCAAAGTTTTCACCCAGTGAGCGGCTTTTAACTTTACTATTTCTAAGATTTCCACCTCTGATCTGCTTTTTTCATTGAAGATTCTTCCATTTCTCTCTTCCCAAATAGTCCATAACAAGGTGGCCCTAGCTGTTTTCCATAGCAATCTTCCTCTTTGCTTTGGTTGCCTCATGAAGCTAGGATCAAAGAGGCCCACCACCTCCTGTGGAGGGTTCCACCTACAGCCAAAAAGAGAAAAAAGATGTTCCCAAATACAAAGCACAAAAGGGCAGAATTGAAAGACATGGGAAACAGTTTCACCATTGCATTTACATAAGATGCACAAATGAGGGGGAAAGGCACTTATTTGGCCTCCTTTTCTGCAGCACATCATAGGTGTTGATCTTTCCAATGAGACTTCCCAAGACGAGAACTGAATCTTAGGAGGGATTGGCTTACTCCAAATTTCTTTCACCAGGAAAATTGCCCCCAAGGTAGATGGCTGAATTAAGAAGTTAAGGAAAGAAGCACAAGTAAAAAAACCAAAAAAAAAATAAACATTTGGGGAGATTGACCACACCCTGGAATCCTTTACATTTTGATCCAAAAACAAAACAAGTCCAATCCGGCCAAAAGAGAGATGAGACTCAAATTCTGATTCCCTAAGACCCCTTCAGAACCCAAAGTCCCAATTTAAACCCGAAGCAGAGAAACTCAAAATTTTAGAAATGGGTTCAGATTTGTAATTGGAAAGTGCATAAAGCAAAAGAAATTGGACCTTTAATGGATGTTTACCTATCCAAAGATCCTCCCAGAACAAGACTCTTAGACCATTTCCTACATCATACCAAATGAGGTTAAGGAAAAATGAGCAAACCTCATAAATTGCTTTCCAAGGTGAGGTTGGATTTCCATCCCAACCATTGTCTAAAATACCATGTATGCTAGCAATGACCTTATTCCAAAGCCTATTGCTTTCTAAGGGAAACCTCCATAACCACTTTCCTAGAAAAGCTAAATTCTTTTGGACCAAGTTTCCTAGCCCAAGCCCACCCTTCTCTTTAGGCCTATTAACTTATTCCCAATTCACCAAATGGTCTCTCTTATCAACTCCCGATTCCCAAAGAAAATCCCTCATTGATTTTTCCAATTGCCTGGCAATTTTGGCTTTGGTCAGGGTTATCCTTCCTCCCAAAGAAATGTAACTCCTCTTCCAAAGTGTCAATCACTTAGTAAATCTCTCAACCATAGGTTTCCAAAAACTTTCATTTTATGGATTTCCACTCAAGGCGAGCCCTAAGTACTCTTGGGCCCAATTTTTTACTTCACAACCTAAGGACTGTTATTATGATGATTTCCTCTTCTTGTAAATGCAAGTCCACAAGACTGCTTTTCCACAAATTGACCCTTAAATTGGATAATTTCTAAAAGGAGCTAATAAGAAGTTTCAAGTTCCTAAAGGCCTTAGGGCTATAGTCATCACAAAAAAGTATTAAGTCATCCACAAACTGCAGGTGGGTAACCACAAGGTAACCTCAGCCCTTCCCACCCTCTAGCCCCTTATTGAATTATCCAAATCGGCATTACTAATCATTCTACTTAGAACCTCTGCAATCAAGGTGAAAAGGAAAGGGAATAAAGGATCCCCCTATCATAATCCTCTTTTAGCTGGGAAGAAATCTCTAGTAGTCCCATTAACCAAAATTGAATAATGCACTGAGCCCATGCATCCCTTAATTCACTTTCTCCACCTTTCTCCCAACCCAAACTTCTTCATATCTTCAAGATGGAAAGAACAACCCACCAAGTCGTATGCCTTCTGAGTCCAATTTACAAACAAAACCTTTCCCTCTTTTTTTCTTCTTTTCAGCTACACATTCATTTGCCACTAAAATTTGGTCAACAATTTGTCTTCCCTCCACAAAAGCACCTTAATGTCACAAACATAATGGGTTGTTGGGCTAGAGGTTTTCTAGATGTTTCTTGAGGCTTTTAGCCAACTCTACATGTTTTTAGGGTGTTCTGGAGCATTTTGGGGTGTTCTTGAGTGTTCTCCATGTGTCTAGATGTTGATGGAACTCTCTAGAACCTTGTGGAACAATCCGGGTTGGTGTGGAACAACCTAGAGGGGTTGGGAGCAATCTAGACTTCCTCTAGAGTGTTCTTGTATCTTATGGAGAAGGCATCCCCTAGAAGAGTGTAGAAGGTAGAATGTTCTAGAGGTGCTTCTAGATGATGCCAAGTGTACATAGTTCTAGAGAAATCCTTTAAGGAGGTGGAAGTGCCTATAAAAGGGGACCCCCTCCCTCATTTGCAAGCAACCAAGCAATCAAGTGTTGTATTCCTCTCTTGAGCAATACAAAGAGTACCTTTGAGTTCTCCATCTCTCTTTCCTTGTGTGCTTTGTGCCTTTGTTGCCTAAGTGTGTGCCTTAGTGTGAAGGACGAGTTAGTAAGCTACTTGGTCTCAGGAGCCAAGAGAGCCTCTAAGCAGGCTTGTGGAGCGATGAACTACTGCCCAAGTGCCGCACGAGATGCTAGAAGAGTTTAGGTCCGTGACATTAAACTTGTGAGATTATTGTAGGCAACACCCTTTTTAGCCTACTTGAAAGAACTTTTGTGATTATATATAAAGGCTTCCCACAAAACTAATTGGTCTAAAATCCCTTGGGGTTTTGGCTTCCTTTTTCTTAGGTACTAACACAATGAAGGTGGCATTTGTTCCTGGTGAAACCTCCCCTTTCTGGTAAAACTCATCAAACACTTCCTTTAGGTCCTTTTCTAGAATCTCCTAACACTCTTGAAAAAATGTCATGGTGAAACCATCCAGCCCAAGGGCTTTTGATCTTCTTTCCATGGAGAAGACGTCCTCTTTGATTTACTCAATATTAAACGGCTCCTCCGAGGTACTAGATTGAACATCAATCACCCTATCCCACTCAAATTCTGGTAGTTCTTGCCTATTCCCCTCCATTCTAGAAAAAAAATGCCTTTAAAATGATCAAGAAAGACCTTAACTACCTCCTCCTCCCTCCTAACTTCACTACCATCCACTTCCACACTTGTTATGAAGTTTTTCCTTCTCCCACTTGCTAAGGAATGAAAGATAAGACATGCTAATGGGGGAATAAGCACTACTTTTGTTGCTTTTTTTGAAGCAAATCACAAAAAAGATCCAATCCTAGAGGGAAAAGGCTTACATCATACCTCCTTGACTGGCAAAGAAGGCAAAGAGCTAGTGGAGGGTTATGACAAGGCATCAAAAAAGGAAGCACAAGAAAAAGATTCATAAGAAGTAAGTCCAAATTCGGCCATCAAGCTTGGAAGGGTCAAGGAAGACTTCCTCCAAAAGTTGAAGTAAATTAAGAACATTCTAAAGTTTGGAATCTCTTATACCCAAACCATAAGTCCCAACTTAAGCCATTGCTTAAATTTGAAGAAACAAGGAATTTGGAGACAAACTCATGATGCTATAGATTCACCGATGATGCAACTGCCTTGTTTGCCATGAAATTATCATGTATCTCAGGTTCTTCTCTTTCTCCTCTTTAACATTTTCATTTTATTTGTCAATTTGAAGAGAAACGACAATTACACTGTTATCAAGTTCTTGCATGATTTTTTGGCCATATTTATGTTTTTCTTCAAATATGTCCATTGCATTATTGGCTTTGTTACTGATTAAAATAGTTTATTATTGATATTTTTGTATCAGTAGAAGCTGTCCTCTCATTATTCTTGGTTTAGAGTTTTGTTTTGGTAGTTTAAATGCAATTGAGTATGCCACTAACATACCTGTTTTTCTTCATTTTTGTTCTATGTATCAACTGCTTTTTATTTCTTTGGTGAAAATGTATCAACTGTTCTAGTTCTGTGATTAATGCAGAGGATACAGTATGCAAAGACAAAATCTTATATTATAGCAAAAGCTGATGGTACCTTCGTTCTGCGAGAAAGACGAAAGTGGCATGAAGAAAGAGGTATGGTGGTTCTTTCTGTTTACTTGTCTTCATTGGTGTCTTTTGGCACACATTATTATTTCAATTAAAAAAAAAATTGTGAGGGAATACCTTCCTTGATTGCTCTTGATATACTTATGATTGTTTGAAGAAAAATTTTGAAGGGGTGTGATTCAAGAAAAACCATGTGATGCTTGAAGCTACTTTCTTGATTTCCATGTTTGTTTTGGGCCATGAATTGGACAAAATCCATTTATGGTTCAATACATCACATCAACCAATTAAGTCTAGGGGGGTCATGTTGTGGAATTGTTCTAGTGTTCATATGCCATATAACCAAGTCCAATGGCCAAAAGCATTTTTGTATAGTTAAGTGTAGATTACATTGGTGAAACATAGTTTTTCCTTTTCCTCTTTTCCTTTTTATAGGTGAAGATGTTTTTACTAGGTATAATAGTGGAGAAGCAAGTTTTTTGGTTTAAAGATTAAGTAGTGCTTAAAAAGCCCCATATACAAGGACTATATGTGAGACCATGTACAGTACAAAATATACATGTTCAGCTCTATACATTAAAAGAATTAAAAATAATTGAAACCCATTGGCTACCATTGATTTATCCATCACATAGAGAAAAATATTGGACAGCTGATCATCTGAAATCCAGAGGTTTTAATATGGCTAGAAGATGATGTCTATGTGAGGAGCAGGAAGAGAATGCTACTCACTTATTCATCTCATGCAAGTTTTCAAACTTCTTGTGGAAACGTTCGGGGTCTCAGGCTTTCACCCAACCTCAACAGCAGAGATTTTCTCTACTTGGCCCAGGCTGAATAGAAGTAAGAAGGTGAAAATGCTATGGAGGTGTATGCCATTTGCAATTTGCTGGAACATTTCGAAGGAGAGGAACAGGACTTTCGAAGACAAAGCTTACAGCATGGACAAGATGGTTGCAGCTGTTAGTAGATCAGTGATAGATTGGCTGCTGATTCTTCCAGATTTCAATCAACTAGAAAAAGAAGACTTTGGTTTTAGGTTAGGAGAGATCCTGGTTGTATGTGTAAAAGAATGTGGAACCATGTGAAGATGTTCTTACAGATCTATTCAAGAAGCCTGATTTAGCATTTGGGAAGTTTTCATTTATATTTGACCCTTCAGCTGAAGATCCTAAATCTCTGGGGCTTATGAAAGTTACCATTGGGAAGTCCAGAAGTGGATATTGGCAAATTCAGTTCTGGACAAGAATTACAAAAAAGCTCCCAAGAGTCCTTAACGCTACCATTGCAGCTGTACGCTGTAGCCACCTTTTCTCCAATCCATATGGCTTTTGACATTTATGTAGGTTATGTTGTCTAAACCCCACTTCATGTAAAACTGTGTACTGTGCTTTACTGGGTGAACATGATACTAATGGATGGATCCCAAAAGTAGTTCTAGATGGAAGTTTGACAATTATTAGACCTTTTGTTTTTCCCCCTCTGGAATGTAAACTATGTTTAGTAGAACTTTTGTATCCTAACATTTCTTTGATAATTAGATAGTTATTTCTTTAATTTCTCATATAATTGATTAAAATTGACTAATGTTAAAGTTACATAATGATGAACAAACACCAAAATGTTGCATGTTTTTGTTGACTTGGCTCTCGTTCTCAGTTTAGGGGACCACTTCATTGGTATTTGAAGATGAAGTGGCTATACTAATTTACTAGAATACATTGTGATTTCATTGAACTATGTTTTTTTCTTGCCTTTTTAATAGCTAAATGTATAGGTTATATTCCATTCTTTAGAGAGAATCACCAACACAAAACTTCTAAGAACATCACCCTGTAAAAGACAGATTTCATATAGTAGAGCATTGCCAATATCGGCATGGAAGTTCTTCTCTGAGAACAGCTGTGATTATTCTAGAGAACTTAACCAAAAATATTTTGGGAAAACTTGAATTTTGGTTGCTTTTGGAAAGTTCGGGAACATGGATAAATACTACAAGTTTATATTTTTGAGTAGGTTACTGTTTTGACTAGACCACTTTTACCATTTTGAGACGCCATTATGTCTTAATAGGCAATGGTTGTCTTCTTGTTTTTTTTTCCTGACAACATTACTTGTTCGTTTGTTGCTGGCATTTGGGAATGGCTTTTTTCCTTATTTGAATGCAGGTGGACACCTCTGGCTGACATCAAAAGTCTCTTTGATCCAACTTTCTGTCCATGGCCGAGGAAGATAGGTAACATCATGTGGAAGAGTGCTAGGGCGGCAATAATCTGGGTAGTGTGGGAAGAAAGAAATGCAAGAATTTTTAGAAAAAAAGAAAAGAACAAAAGAGGCCTTGATTGAATCAATACTGATTAGAGTGGCTCAATGGCTGAAATACTTAGAAAGCTTCTCACATATATCCACTGATGACATCATTAGAAACTTGAAGGTAGTGGCACTCTCAAATGTCAATAAGCAGCCTGTTATTCCTATCTGGGACCCTCCTGAAAGAGGATTTATAAAGCTTAACTTTGACGGAAGTAGCATGGGAAACCCAGGAAGATCAGGAATTGGAGGTGTATTCAAGGATGAGGAGAGTAAAGTGTGAGCATTATTCTCAGGCCCAGCAGGTGAAGGAGACTCACTAAGAGCGGAAGTAATGGCAGTTATGGAAGGGATGCAAAGGGCTAGAACCATGAATGTTAGAAAGCTAATCATTGAAGGGGATTCCAAACTGGTAGTGGCTTGGCTACTGGATGAGGAAAGTAGGATGTGGAAATACAATAATGAGAAGAAAAAATTCAGATGGATCACAAAGGGTATGGAACTGAGAATACAGTGGGTGAAAAGAACAGCTAATTCGATGGCTGATGCACTAACCAAGCAAGAGGTTGGGAGAATTCAAACATTTTGGGCACAAATGTAATTTTAATTATAACTAAAGTTAAAGGGGAGAGATAAGAGGGCTTGTCTCTCTCCCACTTTCTCTTGTGCACTTTATTTTAAATTCAATGAAGCAATCAGTTATTCATCCAAAAAAAAAAACATTCTTGTATTGTTAAAATGATACTACACTTGTCTCCTACTCGACAAGTCTGTATGCATGTTTGCTACTGTTTTACCTTAATGAATTGAAAGTTTTGTCTATCTATTTGAAAATGTTTCTCAGTATAGTCAGATGTGCATAAGATAACTCTATATTTGATGTTTGCTTTAGCATCCTGTGACATAGATTTACTTTTACATCCTTTGTTCCTGGGTTTTATCAATGGGAAGTATCATTTCATCAGTAAAGTTTAGTGTAAAACTATTTTAGAATAAATATGTTATAATGTTAAGTAGACTCTATGATTTTAGCAGGTTGTCTCTATGATGTAGACATGTAGTATATAGGTCTTATTTCAATTATATTAAGAAAAAGGGAAAAAGACAAATAAATATGATAAGATTCTAGAATGGAAATCACCCAAAACCAATCTAGTTCAAGAGGGAAACAATAGAGATATACATCTCTCAATCAATAAACAGCTATTTGTGTTTATTTAGCTATTTAAGGCCTAAATTCAAACATTTACCTGATGAGATTCTTCGAATTGATTTGTGAATTTTTTATTGCAACGCCAATCAAACTACTTCCTGATATATAAATTCCCCTAATAGTAACATAGATTGGGAAAGGATAGGAAAAAACTCCAGAATGATTCCAACACACAAATACCAATAATGAAAATAATGGAGAGACAAAAATTGATAAAATACCTGAATCGATGCTGCTTGCTCTTAATGGTTACAGGGCCGAGATTGGTGGTCGACCTAGAAAACGAGAAAAAACAGTGTAAGAAATAGATAAAAAGAAGAAGTAGTATCGAACTTACCTTCACTGTTAGCTTCATGCTCTGTGCGAAGAAGAATAAGAAGATAAGGAACAAAAAAGAAGAAGAAGAGAGATCGATCTTACCTTCACCGCAGCAGGGAGGTCGATCTTAGCTTCACTGAACCGTAGAGACATCAATTTTACCTTGTGCACAGAGAAAGAGAGAGAGAGAGAGACGAGGGTTTACGAATATTTTTCGTGACGCAAAATACATATGAGTTTTGCCAGAGACCCAAGGTTCTTCATTCAGGGAAGAATCTGAAAACTTAGTTCTTGCACATTCTTTTTGTCAGAACCGGTAACTGCTTTAATTCATGTCAAATCAAGCGTAATTGGTTTGCATTTGGGTCGATGGAATGGGCATCTAGCTCCGATTTTTATTGAGTGTAATTTACAAAAATTTAGTTTAATTCATTTTATATTATTTTTATCATATTATATGATCTGATTCATATTTTTTAGTTATTTATTACCATTATTTTTTCCTTTTTACATTTTTGTTGTATTTATAGTGTTTTTTTATTAATTTATCTTTTTGCAGTACTTATTTTATACTACTTCTACTATTTATTATATTTATGATCATTTTTACTATTATATTTACAACACTTTACTATTTTATCTTTTTTACATTATTTTACTATTTACAAATCCCTTTATTATACTTTGTATTATTTTTTATTATTGCTAACTTTTAATATATATTTAAGTTTTTCTTGTCATTATTATTATTTTCTTTTTCTTTATTTTTATTATGTTTTCTAATAATTTTTACTATTTTATCATTTTTAACATTATTTTTAAATTTGTATTTACATTATTTATTATTCTTATTGTATTTTATACTTTTATTATTTTGTAATGTCTTTTGTAGTATCATATTATTTTAATCATTCTCATTTAATTTAATTTAAATAACAACTTTAGAGGTAAATTTGTAAAATGTGAACTTTCCAAACTTCGCAATATTCAGATTACAGATAACACCACAATATTTAAATATATTGAAAAGAGAAAATTTTTCATTAAATGCTTTTCAGACGAGTTTTTTTTGTTTTGTTTTCAGACTTCAAAGTTCAAATCTATAGACGCCACCTAACTGTCTTAACTTGTGTGAGTTTTTTCTAAATCAACCAATCCATTTGTTGATATATTGCAACTATTTAAAGGCCCATCATTCCTAATGGTTGCCTTTTAGCCAACAGTTAGCAACCCTTATCCAAGTATTAGCTAAGGTTCCAACAAGATGGTAGTTTTTGACTTCTGGAGTGGCCTTTGTTTTGGCCAAAATATTAGTTTTTGAGTTTTGGCACATCCAATTGACCTTTGTTTTGGCCAAAATCTATACTATCTATAAAAGAACCCACTTAATATCTTAATTAGTTTTTGGATAAATGAAATATAAAAAATGATCATAAATTATAAATACTTTTGTCTTAGAGATATTGCCATGTATAAATGCACATACACGTTTACTAGTTATAAAAAAGTATGAATGAGGTTGTGGAACTTTTCTTAACTAAAATGTTCACATTTGTTATTTAGTCCATCTCTAATTATGAAGATTGAAAATGTAATTTCAATTAATGTTTTTCAACTCATTTAATCCCCTCTCATTAACTCTCATATTCAAGGCATTAACTCTCATTCTCTCTTATTAAATCCCATACTTAAGTTAATTTTTCACTAATAAATGCTACTAATTATATCTATGTCCAATATTACCATTACTTTTAACATACAAACTCATATATTTTAAAATTTACTCAAAAACAAAAGCATTCTTTATCCAAGTGATGACTAAACAATTCATCAAATATCCAAATCAAATTGGTAAACCCATGAAGTCATAGTCAAATAATAAAATTTTTAAATAATATTAAATATAAAAAATTACAAAAATATAGAAAAAATAGGCACATTTATGATATTTTTTATTAATCAAACTAAAAAACAAGTGTAATAAACAACAATTATTTTTATTAATGATAAAAATGAAATACATAATCTAAAACTAACAAAAAATTAAATTATTTTCCTGTTTAGCAGAGATCAATAGTTTAACCTTTGGGTCAAATCTATAAACCTTTAATGTCATAATTAAATAATAAAAATTAATAAAATATAAAATACAAATTTTACAAAATAAAAAACATTTGGGCACATGTATAATATCATATATTTAATATATTAAACAAAAAATAAGTATAAATAACAATATTATTTTTACACACATAGAAATAAAAAATATATATATAGAAAAATTGAACACATCTATAACTCCATATTTACACTATTATTAAAAATATTGTGGAACTTTATTTTGACTAAAATACCTTTTTTTTTAATTTAATCCCTATTCAATTGTAAGATTTAAAATGTAGTTTGAACTATAGTTTTCACCTCATTTAATTCCCCCTCTTTAAATCTTACATTTTTTTATAAATAAAACAAAAAAGTATACACTAAGAATATAAAACATTACAAAAAAGAATAGTCTAGCCAAATAGGCCTATCGATGATACCTAAAACTTTGTAGCCCAATATGAGGTGCTTATGTAATTAGGTTCAGATTTTTCAATCTACATCTGATTAATAGTGAAAAACAAAAAATATAAAAAAAATGAATTTTATAGAAAAACTTTGCTATATTATTCATATATCATTATCATCATCTAGAATTGCCACGTGCACACTTACTAGTGATATTAAAGATGACAAAAGTACATGCAAGCTAAAGGGGAAGAAAAATCTAGAACGACAATGTCGGCATTTACAAATTTCCACAAAATGGTCATGATCCCAAAATGAGTTTATGCAATCCAATAACTCCTTGAATGAGAGAGGAAGAGCCACAAATTTAAAATAAAAAATAGTGCATAACCTAACAATATTACAGTAGTGTTCAATCGTTTTGTGGCAATGGTCTACCTAGATTAAGACTGGCCTTTATGTCTAAGAACTAAGACTTCATCAAAAAGAAGAAAAAAAATGAATGTTAACGTTAGGGACTTGGGATGAGAGAGGGGGAGTAAGGGATAGATGAGCTAATACCTTTTATCATCCATTGGGATTAAGAGTCAACAAGGAAAATTTTTTGTTTGTCATCCATTGGGACTAAGACTTAGCAAGGAAAAAAAATTATTTTTATTGCAAAATCCTGAATTTACCTAAATTCTCAATTTGAAAATTTTAGGTAGGGTTGTACACGGGTTAGTTCGGTTCAGTTATACATAGTTTTATCAACCGAACTGACTATATCAGGTTGAATACTAAATCAACCGAAACCGACCCAGAGAAATAAAAAATGACTTGCAATAAAAATTACCGATCGGTCGGTTTGTTCGATTTCAACCGAAACCTTGTCTCGAAGTCATCAAGCACTTCGTCTAACTTGATGTTGTCACTTGCAAGACGGTTGCAGAGGTTGCAGCCCTTCGCTCAATATGAGACTGAACAGTTTCATTTGGTGAGAAGCAGTGCCTTGGTTGCATGCTTTTTCTAAGGCTGTCATATTATATCTGAGAGCTAGGCCTACGGCTACACAGTAAAATAAGAAAAAGTAATTAAATATAATACATATAGAAAAAGAAAAAGTAATAAAATAATACATAATAGATGTAGAAATGTCCTATTAACATTTAAAACTTCAGACTTGTTGTACTATACTTGAGATCTAGGCCTAAGGCTCAGATTAGACTTCTTACTACTATCCTATTAGCATTAAAAATCCAGACTTGTCATACTATATCTGAGAGCTAGGCCTAAGACTCAAGTTAGACTTCACACTTCCACCCTCTTGCATGTTATCTCATAAAAAGACTTGTCTTTTTTGCTTTTTCTTTTTGCAAATATTAAACTAGGACATGCAAGCATCATTCATATGGTTGGTTCGGGTAGGTTAACTTTGGTTTACAAAGTTATAATCTACAATCGAACCGATCAGTTGGATTATGCATATTTCTAAACCGAAACCAACCAAATTAAGTTAAAAACCGGTCACATCGAGTCGAATTGGGTTGGTCTATTTGGTTTGGTCAGTTTTTGACATTCTATGAACAACCCTAATTTTAGGTGGAAACTCCATCATTCTCCCATTCAAATAGCTACACTTAATAAATAATTCAACATCTTAAAACCTACAAAAGCAAGAAAGGAAAGATGGGCAATCAAGTTGAACATGAGTAAGGTTTATAATAAAATTGAATGGGGCTTTTCTTAAAGGAGTTTAAACCAAGCTATAAGGTTGCAAATAGGGTTGGGTTAGGTTGCGTTGAGGCCAACTCTAACTCAACCTTAAGTTCTAAATCTCCAACACTAACCCTAACCCAACCTAATTAACCTACCCAGCTATAACCCTAACCCTAACTAAATTCCTTTAACTCTAACCCAACCTATCTCAACCGGAAGTTGACTTCCATTTGGGCCTAACCCAAATATATATATATATATCATATGCTTTATTAGTATTTGTTTGTTGATGTTTTTATTGATTATTTTAGTGCAAATTAAAAAAAAAAGTGTTTGAAATGACTATAGTTTATTATGGATTATGGCTTATGATAGATCTTTTTATGAGTAGCAAACTGTGAGCGACAAATAGTAGAAAGGAGATGAAGAATAAAAATATTCAAAAAATATAAAATATGTTATTAAGGTTTTAGTCTTTCTTATTAGGATTAAGTGAAGTGATTATTTTAAAAGAAAAACATGACAGTATGTGGTTGGGACTGTACAACTATCATGCATTTAAACAAATCAATGTATGATACATAATATATAAAACATATATTAATTTATACATGACTTTTACTATAGAGTTGGGTTCAAGTTGGGTTGGGTTGCCCAAGGGGTCAACCTTAATCCTAACGAAGCATCAGCCTGACCAAACCCAACCCGACCAGGGTTTGGGAAAAATGGATTGGTTGGGTAATGAAGTGTGTAACTTTTGTTTCTTACCAACTGTCAACAAACGGTTATTCCTAGTCAATCCTTCAAGCCTCATAAAGTACTTAAAGAGACCCCTGTCTCCATGTCACTTGTTGCTCTTTTTAGATGTTTTCTCATCGAAATTGCTCTCCTTAGTCAATCAAGGTAAGTTTTTAAGCATTAAATTGAACCATTTTTGCTTTGTGATCTCACATTTTCTTTTTGTAGATGATAGCTATATTTTCACTTAAACACATATTAAAGACAGTGCTATGTTGGTGGAAGCTCCCTATGAATATGAGAAGGCTTTGGGTAGACAAGTGAATTTTTCTAAGTCTAAAATTTTCAATCAAAAACTACACCCTAGATTGAAGCAAGTCACTATTTCTAGCCCAAATATTAAAAAAATGGTCTTCTTATAGAT